AAAGTCAGCTGTTTAAATTTACTTCGTTACCAGTTTTGTTATGAAACATTTTCTGCTTGACTTCAGCTTCTGCAGCAGCTTTCAGCAATAAATATTCACACTGTATTTTCACAGGAAATGCAATTTCTCTAGTTGTGTGGTGGATATTTATTCACCTTCCTGTTTGCTGGAAGTTTGAACCCATGGTAACACATAAATGAAATGTCATCATTAGACTCACATTATCTGCTTTATTGTCTTTATTATAAATCTAAATCTAAATTCTATAACCAACCGTTACTGGAACACAACACAACTTCACCTAATGTTAACATTTGCTGTTCTTTGTATTTTTTTCATAAATTTTGTCCGCTGTTATGGAAGATGCCTCTTCATTGGTACAGTCAAATTTTTTGTAAAAAAAAATACTTTTTTTAACTTGATAAGATCAGTACAAGCAATGCAATATTAAAGAATAATAAATATTGAATTTCTGTTAAAATAATGATTTTTCTCTTACTGTATAGGTCACATTTGCTCAAAGTGTTTATGTAAAACAAACCAATCAAATCTGCTTGGTTCTAGAGGCTTAATGATTCCTCAAAACAGAATTCATAAACTCAAACAGTAAAATAAAGACATTTTTCAACAAATGTTTCTTTACCTTTTTTGTCTTAGCAGCCAGTCGGCTACAACCTTCAATTCTGAAAAAGGTGGGATGTGTAAACTGTCAATAATACAAAATGCAATGATTTGTAAATCTTCTAAGCCTATATTCACAATAATGTACAGTAAAAGTTATGTGTAAACAAAAATTACTGATTTTTAAAATTTTTCTGGCTGGGGAAAATAGGGTCATTTTATATTTTATGACAAACAAAAAAGTTGAGACAGCCAGGCACAAACAGATTATGAAAGTTGGTGGTAACAGTAATAATTTGACAGAACAGTTTGTATCTAAATTTACAACAGGTCTGTAAGTTAAGTATTTTAGAGAGGCTGAAAGTCTTAAAATTACTCGTGACATGTTCACCAGCTGGACAAAAAATAAATAATTAAAATTTTATGTTAGTAATAATGTGAAGGCATATTTCATAGCACTAATGGACACTGAAAAATAAAACATGATTTTTTGTTTTTAATTAATTAAAAACAGAATAAGACAACTAATAAAACATATTATAATAGCAGCTTATTAGAGGGGATGAGAAATGGAGTAAGCCTGTTTAAAAATAAGAGATTAAAAACGTGATTTAAACATCAAATTGGTGGTGCAATTTCATAATGCTCCTTAACAAATTTGGAAAGACTAATTATCCTATCAACTATATATTTATACAAAATACAGGCAGAAAGTATATAAAAACTGTCTAAACATCAGATCAACCTGGAAGCCTTTAAGAAATAGAAGTTATAATATATGACCTGAGAAATGCACAATATTTCAGTTTATTCATCATCAGTATCAAGATATTTATCATTATTTTGAAGTTGAATCAACTTCAGTTCTTCTTTCCACCACCAGGTGTCACTATTGTGCACCTTTTGGTGACGTCATTCCATAAACACTCAAATGTCCTATCTGAAAGTTGTCTCCTCGCCGGGTGTGGTGGCGCGCGCCTGTAATCCAAGCTGCTGGGAGGCTGAGGCTGGCGGATCGTTTGAACTCAGGAGTTCTGYCCTGCAGCGGACTATGCCGATCGGGTGTCCGCACTAAGTTCGGCATCGATATGGTGCTCCTGGGGGAGCTCGGGACCACCAGGTCGTCTAAGGAGGGGTGCACCGGCCCAGGTCGGCAACGGAGCAGGTCAAAGCCCCCGTACCGCTCAGTAGTGGGATCGTGCCCGTGAATAGACACTGTACTTCAGCCTGAGTAATACAGCGAGACACAGTCTTTTTATATTCCTCACTAAACTACTGCTACAACACAAACACACAATACTGCATCTTTGCTTCACAGCTGCCACAGCTCTACATTCTTTGTCTTTATTATTTAGCACAAACAAGCTTTTCCACTGGAGCTACAGCGCCTCCTTCTGATGGAAAGTCGTCTTTACAAACATCTGAGAGGCCTTCGTTTTCAGCAACCTTGAAACGAGGTTCAAAAACTTTCAACAAAAACTGCTTTGTTTTTTGTTTTTTTGTTTTTTTCACTGTAAAATGTTCACTTTTATATATTATTTTCTGACTGAAGCAGAACTGTGAACATTCAGGTGTCAGACCTCAGCAGGAGGAAGTTTGGTTTTAAATGTGGCTCTTCTCCTCCCTTGTCCTGCAGGGCCCAGCAGCTGCAGTTTTGACCAAACTAGTTCTTTTTTAAAGCTCAGCATTGAGGATGAACTCTCAGATTCTTCATWTATGGGACACACAACATATAAAATGCTGACAACATCAAAACAAAGAACTTCACACAGAAAGACAAGACAAGACTATTTTTGTGAACTTCATATGTGATTCCTTATTTCTTAGCAAGTTTCTATTCAGTATGTTGATATTGGTCAAGGACATCATTAAAACATAATAAAAACATATTAATACATGTTTTAGGTGGATATTTTTTAATTACATTATATAAAACCTCTCTAATACCCATATTACACCATTAGGTGGCGAGAACATCCTCACTCCTGACATTACAGAGAAAAGGCATAAGTTTAAAACTCTTTCTTGTAAACCATTTCCAGGTTTCTCTTGTTTTGTACCAGTTCAGCGTACAATTAAAGTTTAATGCTGACATATTTGTCAAGACGTAATGCTAAATTGTTCACTGATGTTAAAATAGTTTATTAAAACTGTGCCAATTGGACCCTGTTTTCAACAAAACAAACAAAAAAGGGTCTGTTTAAATATTTTTTTAAATCTGTCTGTCTTGTTGTAACTTTGATCTTGTTCTGAGAGGAAACTATATATATATATATATATATATATATATATATACACATATATCTATATATATATATATATACATTTATACCTATATACATATATACATATAGGAGTCTCTGAGTGCAAAAAGTCTAAATTAGTCTCTACCAGTGCTGTGTAGATACCTTTATTTTCTGTTTGAGTCATATGTTTTAAGCCATTCAGTTTTCTCCATTCCTTGTTACGTTTACTGACAATAAAGTCACAGTATTTGCTGCGGAGGTACTAAACAAGGTCACAGACTTCCTGCTAACCAGTTTCGCAAATTTTTGTTTCTGAAGGTTCTACCGTCGCCTTCGCTCTCCCCTGGCTCTGGGTCAGACTCTGGCTCCAACATGAACGGAGTCCCGCCCACACCCCACTTTCAACTCACTACCTGGCTGTCACACTGTCAATCAAATTGTGATGTGTTCTTCGTCTCTCACACAGTGACCACTGGAGTCCTTTGCACCATTGACCCCACCATAAAGATTATAAAGGGGTTGATTTTATCCCTTTTAGTCAGTCACCTTTTAGCTCATTTGCTTACAAAACAGGGGTGGGACTTGAAAGCAGTATTACAAGCAGCCACTAGGGGGCACTCATCCTTTGTGGCTTCAATTTCTTGATTTCAGCCCTGTATTAATAAAAAAAAAAAATACGTGAACAGCATCTAAAACATATTTTTAAAAATTGGATTTTCCACATTTAGTAGAAGTTTAGGAGAAGTTTATTTATAAGTAGTTACCTAAACACAGAGTAAACAGAGTCAGTCACTTCATTGTTTTACTAGTAATTTGAAGACTATGAGAAGTCTCGGTTCCAAGAAAGTCGAACCACTCATATGAGGATCTCAAACATTAACAACTGTTTTAAGAACAAAAAACACATTTACAGCTAAAGATAAAATACAAAATCATATTAAACACGACTCAAGATGGATAGAATTAGAACAATTTAGGGAAACAGTCAAAGCTAGAAAGGCGCTTTGTTTACTTTCAGCTCAGTTTTTTGAGTGTTGTTGGGTCGTCTGGATTTGTCAGCTTTTTTTATGTTCATTTTTTTTCTTTCTTACAATCTCAACTCCTTTTTGGACGCCGCTAAATGCCAAGTATCAGAAATGCCCGAGCCTTTCAAAATTCCTGCGATGGTGGAACATGTTTTTGTGTGGGAGGACTGTTCTGCCAAGCAAAGCTGTTTTAGTCCTGATTCTTTTTTTTTTTTTCTCACAAGAAAATCTTGTTCTTGCACCACCAAATGCCTTCTTGTGACGAGGCCAAACAAGAAAGAGCCTAACAAGTAAAAAGGGCACCACGGCTTTAGATTAGTCAAAAGATCAAAATTTTAAAAATCCTGTTTCATTTTGTATTAAAGTCAAATTTTAAGAACGCTCCTCTACATTTAACATTTAACCTCCTCAAAATGGACATTTTTGTTTAAACCATCCCCTACGCTTTAACACCTTCGGCCGTTTACAGGAAAATGCAACGAGGGAATTCTGAGTGGGGGGTTTTGGGGAGCCCACTGAGGGTTTCTCAATGCAAAAAGTCCTAGACGTTGCCTCACATATATTTCATATTTTGCAGCTGGCGTGTCGCAAGCAATTTGAAGCGTGGCACAGTAGTGGAAATCACCACAAGACGTGTCGATATTCACAACCCGGTCATCCATGTGGTGGTTTGGGATGTGGTGTCTCTGGGGGACTGAGTCGAAACGTAGCATCGACAGTAGCTGCTGAAAACAAAAAAAAAAAAAAGAAGAAAAGAAAAGAAAAAAGGGAAGCAAGTAAGCTTAATATGTTTGCTTAATATAAATATACACACTTCGTTACAGCTCAAAGATTGTGAAAAGTGATTTTAATCTCTCTTGAAAGAGTTTTATTTTGTTGTTGTTGCACAAAATTTTGTCGTTAAACAAAATTTTTTTGTTTGTAAACAAAAAAATCTGTGATCAAAGTGACGCTGACATCAAAGGCAAAGTCATATTTACTCATATTGTGAACTGAACTCTTTGAAAAAGTGTCATTTTTCTGGAATTTACACAATTACCTTGTATGTTTTAACTTTCCACCAGACATGTGACTTCCAGTCTAATGCAACTTACCCAGATTCTTACCAGAAGCCACATCAGATACTACTAATTAGGTAGACAGCTATAGTCTCACATTGTGGTGTGTGTGTGCGTGAGAGAGAGAGAGCGCGAGAGAGCGAGAGAGAGAGAGAGAGCGAGAGAGAGTGAGAGAGAGAGAGAACGAGCGTGAAGGGTGAAAGAGAAGGAGGAGTGTCAGAAAGGGAAAGAAAAGAGGAAAGAAAAAGCCTCATTACTCATTGAGTGGTGAGTCGAGCTCTTCTGATCACTTGTTCTGCTACAAAGACTTTCTCTCTCTCACTCTGTCTCTCACACACACTCACACACACACACTCTCACACACACGCGTAGTATAAGAAATACAAAGCAGAAGTGGACAAAAACCCAGGTCTTCAGTCGTTGTGGTTGGCTATGGCTCAGGGGTCTGACAGCAACGACACAAGCTACAAGTCCCCATCACCTGGAAGCAGACCGGTGAGTGATCCATCACTTGATTAATCCAACTTTTATTTTTGTTTTTCTGCGTATCTAATCTCTTTGTTGCGTGATTCATCCAAAAATGAGCCGAGCATCACCGGCTGTGGCTCTTTTCGCAGTTTCTCGGGGTGTTTCACGCATGGGCTGCAGGCATGACTCGCATCGAGTGTGGGCTTTCTTGAATTACACAATTTCTCGCTCGCCCAAATTGGTGGGAATCCTTTTGTGCTGTTGTTGTTTTGCAAGTTCTGCGAGATCCTCTGAGCTGGATCGCTCTCACGTGTGCGAGTCGCCAGCACGTTCTAGAAATCCTGCACAACTTTGGGTAGTTAGTTAGTTAGGAGCACATGGCAGTTTGACGACATCATTAGCTTGACTCAGCATCACGAAATGGGTTACTTATTGTGATACCACGACCAAGTGAGCGCTCAGGACGTGAAACAGGGCGTGCGTTGCACCTAACCGATGACTCTCAGCCACTCCCTGACCCTGCCCTGAACACAGGCCTTGAAACATCTGCTGCCAAACTGCCTCTAAAACAGATCAAACTGGCTTTTTTTTTGACACACAAAGCCAATTCTCATCACAGAATTCTCAACTCACTAACCCGACCTCCATGTTGTTTCTTTCCAGAGCTCCTCGGATGACGTGAAGAAGGTGATGAGGCGAGAGAAGAACCGGATCGCTGCCCAGAAGAGCAGGATGAGACAGACTCAGAAAGCTGACAGCCTTCACTTGGTGAGGACCCCAGTCACACCCATGCTGGAACATCACAGCAGCCTAACTTTTACTTTAAAGGCGAACAAAATGTATTCAGTCGAAAGGTCAAGCATGAACCCTTGAGGGCATACACCTGCAGACGGCCCAACCCTCTGTGAGCCCCCAGGGTTTGGGCTGTATTTTCAAAAAAAGAGAGAGCTACCTGACCATGTGGCGATGTGTCATGGCTTCTGTCGGACTGCACACTTGCTCTGCGTGTTTGCAGAAGCTACGATAAGGAATAAATTAGCACGTGTGGGCAATCACTTTCTTTTTTCTCCCTTTGCTACAGAAAATCCAGCACCAGCCGAGTGCAATGACAGGAGAGTCTCTCGTTGTGTTTTTGGCGACGGTTTGCTTTAGATGCAGAAACATTAGGAGGTGATTGTTCTCTTGACTTCCTCGTCCCTGCAGTGCCATACTATGTAAATCACGATTCTCTGAATGAGAATCAGATAAAGTGGAAGGATTTTTTTTTTCTTTTCAACATTCAGAGAAGCCGCGTCTTTGGCCGTAGTACATTCAGTGTAACAGGTCTGAAAGCGTGCGAATCCTCCCAGCCTGTGTTATCGTTCTCTTTAAAACCATGTCACATTTACAAAGAATACCACGGGGGACCGCACAACATGCTCTGTGGTTTTTGCTCTTATCGTCTCACTAGATAAACAGGAAGGTGAATTTTCCCTCGCTGTGACACGGTGGCTTATTTCCTGTTTCTTCAGTAGTATTTTCTTCTGTGTAAATGGGTTTGAATGTTGCACGCCGTGGGCAGGAGGGGAGAGAAAAAAAAGGCCGTCACTTCTTGTAAGAGTCTAGAGCAGTGGGCTGTATTTGGCTAAGTGACGCAAGTGCAGGGGTTTGCCCAAAGGTCGTGTGACAGTAAGGCCCTGAAGCTTTTGGTCATGATGAAATGACCTTTTCAACACTTAAATGGAAGATTTCTTTTTCCACTATTCCCACACACAAACACACACAGACACACACAAAAAAAAAACCTGCAATGGGCTTTGACGTACAAATTGCTTTAAAATATCTCGAAGCTGAAGATCAGAGCTAAAAGTATGACGCTGTTTTGGAAAATGTTGTTCTCCAACTGTCTGAATGGTGCTGTTGCAGGCGGTTTCTAGTGGGGTTTTTTTCTTTACACCTTTGCAACACTGTTTGGTACTTTGTATTAAAACACAGGCTGCACACTCCCAAGCTGAATGAAAGAGCACATGTGCTTATTCACTTGTTCACAAGAAGAGACCACTGGTATAAATATAGGAGTTGGAATTGCATCATTATTACTGTAAACAGTTTTTTGCGTAATAAACTATAAAAAAATAATAATGTTACAAAATGACGTAGTTAAATTCATCTTGTTTAAGCCTTAAAATATAGTAATGCTTGAGCTTGTCCAATATATGTAAAACTGAGTTAAAGCCATTTTTTGTTTGCTAATGTTGTTTAGCTGTGGTGGCCATCTTGAACTGGACTGACTCCAAAATGTAATCAGTTGTCGCTGTACATCCAATGATTAATTTCTGAGAGTTTCACCAAAATATATCAAGAGGTTCATGAGATATTTTGCAGACAGACAAACAAGATAAACTCCAACAGTTGATGCTACAGTTTTAAGCAAGTGTTTTGCACAGTGAGTAGTACTTAAAGTATGTGTTACAACTGGCTCTTGTTTACTACCATTCTGAATTTTAGCAAGTTATCTGCAAAACTCATTAAATTAAAGTCATTTTTTTGTTTTCTAAGATCAGTTGACATTTGCAGCCACTTTAAATTGGATTAGCTTCAAAAGGTAATCACTTGTAAAAGTACATCCAGTGACTATTTCCTATAAGTTTCATTAAAATCCATCCAGTGGTTAATGAGCTATTTTGCTAACAGACAAACTCGACTTTATTTAGCTATTAGTGAAATGCAAAAATCTTGCATCATCTGTTATCACTCAGAGTTGGTGTTATTTATCAGTCTCATCTGCTACAGCTCCAAATTTGAGGTAAAACTGATTGGGTTTTACTGATTTTTGTGTTTTTTAATGACAGATGGCTGTGGCAAACATCTTAAATTGGGTTGACTTTAAAGATTAAATTAAAATAAGTCCAGTGATTCGTGAGACATTACGAGAACAGACAGACACAAAAACATTATTGTAGTGTTCATCTTTTGGTAATGGGCAACAATTACATACATCTGTCAATAAAAGATGTAAAAGTAGTAGAAGGTCAGAGTAAAAACAGTCTTGTCATATTGTTAACCTGTGACTGACTTTAATGTTTAATTTTCTCCTAGCTCAGACAAACTTTGTGCATATTTTGCAAAAATGTATAAAACCCCCCAAATGTAATGAATTCTCATCATTCAACATTTCGTTATAAATGTCACTGAAAACCACAATGAAACCACAATAAATCTTTTTTTCCCCACATTTATCAACCTTTTGAGGTTAAAAGGTTAACTTCATAGATGAAACAGAATAATTACTGATCTTTAAAAATCTTTATAAATTTGAGATCTTTTGTGTTTGTGTAGTATAAATGTTGTTTTGTACTGACTGTACAACAAATTGTCCCTTGGGGGTAAAAAAAAACCTCTTGAACTTGAATCTCTTTTGCAGTTTAATAAAATATCTTTAATCCTAGCAACTAAAAACAACCATTAAGCATGTTAATGCATGTAGTTTGACATTCATAACTATTAGAAAGAAGCATTTCCAGCTAAGTTGGTTTGTCCGTGGCTAGAGTTTAAATACAACTCATTTATGATAACCAGGTTCATTTAAATTGATTAAAAAGATGTAGCCTAAGCACAAAACTGAGCTGAAGCCAGTAAAATAGGCCCCAGTTCACTTGTTTTTCTGTGTAAACAGGGCTAAAATTCCAACTTAATGATGACTTTAGATATGAAACGTTAACAGCTTGAGGTGGGGAACTCCCAACAGTGGAAAGAAGGGAGAAAATAAGTTCATTGATGGAACACACTGGTGCACAACACAAAAACAGAAACACACAGGTACAGATCAGCGCTTTGTATATTTAGTGATTTTCTCAAACAGCTGTTAATGTGATGCTACATAATATCCAGGGGTGTCCATTCCTGCTACTCGAGGGACCACTAACCTCCATGTTCTAGAGGTTTCTCTGCTCCAACACCTGATTTGAATGAAAGGGTAATTAACAGGTTTTGCAGGCCTTGAAGAGGTAATTCAACCATTGAATCAGGAGTGTTGGATCAGAGGAACAAGTGAAACATGCAGGGTACGAATGGACACTGATACTGTTGCACTTCCAGCAGAAAGAACCTGAAGTTTTTGCTACATTAACCATATGTTTGCTTGAAACTTGTGACAAATTTGAGTAGGATTTTATTAGCTCTGGGCACATTTATGCATTTTTTTAAATCTTTTTTTCCCCAACTATGAACACACAAACCCAGAGGTTATGCTTAATCTAAGCCTGGCACTTGATTTGAATTTAGCTGACTTAGCTCTAACCTCCCTGTCGTGTTTTCCAGGAGAGTGAAAACCTGGAGAAGGAGAACGCCGCCCTGAGGAAGGAGGTGAAGCAGCTGACCGAGGAAGCCAACTACCTGTCGTCCGTCCTGAGCAGCCACGAGCCACTGTGCACCGGGCTGGCCCCTCAGACCCCCGACCTGCTCTACTCTCCCCATCAAAGCAGCTTTCACCGCCAGCACATTGCTGTTCCGCACTACCAGCGCTGAGACCCGCCCGCCTCCAGGAGGACCATGCTGCCAGAACAGAAGACCCACCTCAGAGGAGAAAGACTGACCACAGACGTGTCTGTAATTGTTAGTAAAGAACTATAACATGACGTATTTATTTCGCTCCTGCTCACTTTTTTTTCCTTGCTTTCTGATTGTGAATCGAAACAGTCAATGTTTACACGGAGAGAATAGTGCACGCTCAGGTGACTCACATTTTTGTAAATTATGCTTTTATTTTGTAGTGTCATGGAGAACACCCTTTTTGTCACCATGTCATGTCTTGTGCTCCAAGTATTATGTGTTTTTGTGTGTACATGCTCAGGATTTTAATGTTTTTTTTTTTAATTTAATTTTGACAGACGTTGATTGTGGACAAAAAGAATGTAAAGTCAAGATTCTTAGAACAAATCAGGCAGTGCAGGGAGAACGGACCTGACTTGTTTACTGGTTATGAATCAGTATCAGGAAGATCCTGCAGAGGTATTTATTATTGTCATATGTGATGCTTTTTGGGACTGATCATCTGCAGGGCACTTTTTTTGTTATTTTTGCTCCTGTTTTTGTTTGTTACAGCTGTGTAAAGTCTGCACAGATTTTGATAACAGAAAAGGCAACATGTTTTTCTTTTTTTTTTTTTCTGGAGTCCATAGATGGCGCTGTGTACATTGTGAGAGATGAAGTTTATATTTATAAACAGAATTTGTAGGCTGCCTTATGTGGAAAGTAATTCAACACAACTGAGGCATTCGTGCCACTTCTTTCTTGTGTATCCTGTTTATGGTGAATAAACAACTCGTTATCTCTACAGTGTATAAAAGCAGGAAATGAGTGTAATAAAGTGGCTATAATCGGTATAATTTACAACAGAGCTGCTAATAATATTATATCAGATATTCTCACATTAATTAAGGTATATGAGTGGTTTAAAGCCCCATGAGATATATAAAACTATATATATATATATATATATATATATATA